TTTTTGGAACGGAAATTTAGTGGTAAATCTACTGAGCTAAAAAATATATAGTATTCCGTTTAAAAATATAAAACTTTGATTTGAAAATATGTGGAACGACCCTGTATGTTGACAAAATTATTTTCAAAATGTGCGTTGACTGAAAAAAACGGCATGCAGTTGGCTTGGAAATGACAATCGATAACATTCTCCATATAATTTTACATACAAAATAACAGCGATTTTCATTTCCATCTCTGACGTCGTTTTTTTTTTTCGACCGTATGGTATCTAGAATTGTATATGACTTGGCCTATCTTAATCTTAGTTTGGTTTGGTTGTTGAATTTTTATATTTAATTTTTGCCGGGTGCGAAGTGCGAAAGCACGCAGATTGTTTTGGCTCAAGGTTCTAAATGCTGCGATTGCTCAAGTTTCTAAATGGTGCAACAATTGCTCCATCTAAATGCTGCAACCACACCTCTCAGAACAGCGATTGTCGCCAGCTACACGTCAAAAGAACCAATGAGATTTGTACAAAATTCAAACAGCTGTCAATTTTAAATTTAGTACAGCTCCCATTGGTTGTTTGAAATGTCAAACTGTGTCGCCAGCAACACGACGTCGTTCTGAGAACGGAGCTTGACGTTGTCCGGCCATCCGACGCGACGGAGGGGGAACCTGTCCCTATCACTGTCACTTGCCACCTTCTTGTCACCAGCCCAGCAAGCCGCAGGAATTTTCATTTCTTTGATTTATTAAAACAATTGTTATTTCTTATATAAACATTAATAACTAACTATTAAAAAATACAGTCCACTATATAACCGGCCCAACACAGATATTTAGTCATAAATATTTTAAATAGTTTTTTTCTTTATTCTTTGTATCACAGAATATCTAGCTACGCAACAGAAGCCTCGTTACATGTGTAAAATTGTAGGTAGCAAAAGGAGACAGGCTTTAAAAGTCAACCAAATCAGATATTTTGATGTGGTAGTTTCGCTACTACATAATAGAGGGCAATAAATTTAAAAGAAAACAGTTTTCTACAAACAAAATTTAAAAGAATTTTGTGCAGTGTGGCCATTGTGTAATTCATATCATAAAACTTCCTGATAAAGCCTACCTTCAAATTTGCTACATCATTTAAACATATTAAAATAGATCAGAGCTGTTTTTTTCAGTTTGCCATGTTAGTTGGAATTAAATCTTATGAGCTAAATTACAATCACTTCCTGGCGTTTGATTGTATAATTGAATCCTGAATTTTCATTGTAATTCGGCAAGAATAACTATTTTGTTATAAATTATAGAGCCAAGTTAATATTTGGGCATATTTTTACCAGAGTTAGCTTTTAGAAACGTGGTTTTTCTAATTGAGCAATGTGCGTGGCTAAAATTGTGAATACAAAACCTTAAATTTGAGTTTGAAAAGTTAGTTAGGTTATATTAGATGCCGGTTTAATATATCCTTTTCCTAAGTTGATATTATAAAAATGTTTTATTATGTGGTTCTTTTTAGTGCATACACGACCGAAGAAACATATAAGCTGCTAAAATAAATCTTCCCTAGAACTGTTGTACAAAAAAGATAGAAGTTCCAGCAACAAATTTATCACCAGTTCAACCTTTGATTTGATGTAAACAGTAATTGTTTCTTGATGAGAAATGCGAATGAAATAGTTTATGGTGTGATTGTGTTAGTGTTTTATTAATAGTTTTGTTGATGCAGTTTAAAGGTTCATAGTTTTTCATTAAAACATTTGAAATTGACATGTTTACATGCAGTTTAGTGTGATACCATTTTAATAAACATTAAAATCTTTCGAACTAGTAGTGGTTTTATGGCGATTGACAGATTGAATAACGAAAATTAAGAGTATTTTATCAGGAATAACTTAATCATAAATGGAAACTGAAGACGAACGTTACCATTGCACCCTTTGATCGGTGTTATCTATTCCATAACTTTTTATAGCTGAAACTAGAGAGTAGGTATATTGAGCTGAAACGTTTCCTGTGTTCAATAGCGTTTTTTCTAGCGTTGAATTGTAAGTTTTAATGTCATTAGCAAAGTTTTGCAAATTGTCACTGTTTCGTAGACAATTAAATTCAAGATATATTATATTCAATGTCACCTAATAATTGTAAAGGTTTTTCTATTGATATTCACTTTATTAATATAAGGTAGGTTTGTAAATAAAATATTAATGAATAAATAATGTACTCAGTTTATTTCAAAAGCACAAAAATACAGAGTTGTGAATATGTATATACGCTGACTTATTTCATCATATAAATATTTATTTAGCAATATTAATACATTACAACTTTTGTTTCTATTAACTAATTCCACTAAATTTAATAAATAAAATATACAATATATAAATTTAATATACAATTTAGCACTTAGATATTAAATATCTATATGTACTATGCCAAAAAATAAAACAGGAACATCATATTATATCAAGAACACAAAAAATTACAATTTAAAAAAAATGCATTCTAAAAAAATACCTAGCTACAATATACCTACATATTAATTTAAAGAGCTTATTCATATTCATAAAAACTATTCTAAATGGTTTATATACACAATCAAAAGTATCAACCACAATACAATAATTTTCAAATTATTTCTTATTATTCCTCAATGAAAAAGCGTCTTGCGACGGCTAGTCAAAAATCTAAATAATTTTTATAATAAATTTACAATCTGACATATCAAACTATTTTTCAAATTTGTGAACATAGTAACTCTACTGTCTGTAACATCAACTGGCACATTAGTAATATCACGAAGAATTTCATTCTCATTCTCAAAGTTAGGTTCTGAAGTTTGATTTTCAACATGATTAATAGGCAGACCTTTTACTTTTTTTGAATTAGAAACTTTTTCAGTTGCTTCACTCCTTACACATGGTGGTTTCCTCTTTCTTTTATTACTAGAGAAATATGAAGGCAGGTTAGGAAAAATTCTTGGAATTGAACCCTCCTTTAATAATGGTCTACCCCGCTCAATTCTACTGATAGTTCCGTCAGTTAATTTGATCTCATAATGAGTCAAAATATCTTCATCTAGAAAATGTAGTTCACAAACAGCATCTTTGCTGCTAAGTGTCTTGTCTGATCTGGGTATCGCCTTTTGCCACTGCTGTAGCAAGCTAGGATCCTAATAAAAGATATATAATTGTTAAATAAAATAAAAAAAAAACATTTTTCACTATTAAAGCTGTTATTTTGAGAATACGATCTTGAAGTATAAATATTTAATATTCACTTTCAATAGCACTGTTCAAACTGTGGTTAATATAGGTACATGTCAACAGGTAATTTTAGCACCTAGTAAGTATTAAATTATTTTAATTTTATAACAAGGCCTCCTAGGTTATGTTATACACATGTTGATTTTAGGCTATATTTCCTATTAATTTGGTTTATAATTTAATCTGTACACTGACAGTATATAATTTTAATGTTTTTCTTAACATCTATCCATAATTTTTATAAATAAATAGTCATACTACTTACATTAGGAGCTTTGAAAAGGCTTGGGTTTCTTTCACCCCGTTCTTTATTTGCCTTGTTTTTATTGGGATTCCCACTTGTACAGCCAGGTACAAAGCAATTTCTACCACGACTCATTGTTGTACTGCTAAAAATTCAGTAAATTAACTATAAATTTTATTAAAAACACAATTAAATCGTATACTAACAATGAAAATGTAGTATCCCAGTCGATCGCAGTGCCTCTGCTGTCAAACCGAGGAAGCTGCTTAAAAGTGGGGACAGAAATTTCAAATTTGCCCATTGCCGATAAATCTCCTTTTTTAAGCCCTCCATACATAAAACTTCCTGATAAAGCCTACCTTCAAATTTGCTACATCATTTAAACATATTAAAATAGATCAGAGCTGTTTTTTTCAGTTTGCCATGTTAGTTGGAATTAAATCTTATGAGCTAAATTACAATCACTTCCTGGCGTTTGATTGTATAATTGAATCCTGAATTTTCATTGTAATTCGGCGACAATATAATAAGTATTGTTCTACTATTATGATACCACTTCCTGACGTTCGATTGTGTTCATACCAAGTTCATATTGTATAATCGGGAAAAAACGGCGTTAGCGATAGCTATGTAATATCACTGTCATTTTATATGTCAATTTATATGGGAAATGTCATCGATCGTCCTTTTCCAGCCAACTGGACGCCGTTTTTTTCAGAAGCATATCAAGTGATACCATAATATAGTACTATATTACGATACATGGCGTTCGATTGGGCTTAAACTTGGTATACTATAACTTCAGTGACATTGTAATATCATGGTACCATGGAGCATATAAAGTGGTACCTTCCATAGTACCATATTTGATGACATAGCAATATTAGGTACATGGCGGTAATAGGGCTTAAACTTGGTATACTACGTATTTTCGGTGACATTGTAATATGATGGTACTATGATGCATATCATCTGGTACCATAATATAGTACCATATTATGTACATGGCTTTCGATTGGGCTTAAATTTGGGATGCTACGTATTTTCGGTGATATTGTAATATTATGGTACCATGGAGCATATTAAGAGGTACCATAATATAGTACCATATTACGATACCATTTCCTGGCGTTCGATTGAGCTCATATTTGATATATACTTGCATATTTTTGATGACATTGCATTATTATGGTACCATGAAGCATATCAACTGGTACCATAATATAGTACAATATTACGTACATGGCGTTCGATTGGGCTTAAACTTGGGATACTACGTATTTTCGGTGACATTGTAATATGATCGCACTATGATGCATATAAAGTGGTACCTTAATATAGTACCATATTACGATACCATTTCCTGGCGTTCGATTGGGCTCAAACTTGGTATACTACGTATCTTCGGTTACATTGTAATATGATTGAACTATGATGTATATAAAGTGGAACCTTAATATAGTACCATATTACAATACCATTCCATGGCGTTCGATTGTTCTTAAATTTGGTATACTACGGATCTTCGGTGACATTGCAATATTATGGTACCTTAAAGTATATCGAGTGGTACCATAATATAGTACACTATTATGATATCATTTCCTGGAGTTCGATTGGGCCCAAATTTGGTATACTTGCGTTTCTTTATAAAGATTTGTTTAATTAATAATTTTAATTTATTTTACGAATTTTAATTTATTGTTCGATGTCGTGACAGCAACTTTTATGCCGAACTAATATATTATTAATTGTACCTGTGTCACTTTTAAAATCTACCTAGGTCTATATAAATAACGTGGCAAACGGAAGAAATTTGTTATTATAGTATTTTTAGTCAGTTAACATTTTTTGTACTGCATTTTAATAAATTATTTCCATTATTATTAAACTTATATTTCATTACTAACGTTCCAGCATTAATAAATATCACTATCAATCGCCCTGTATATTATTAATTTTAAAGGTAATTAAAGGTATTTTCTTAGTTAACATTATAAGGTAGTGTATATTAAAAATGTATATGTTTTGTAATAATATACTTAAAACTATTTTAATAGCCAAAGGAATAATTAATATAAGTGTATCTGACAAGAAAGAAGAATAGAAAGAAACACATACTGCATTATACACAATAAAAGAATGGGATGCCAATTCAAGTCTTTTGAATCTGGCAATTGTGCATTTAGCCGAGCTATAAGGCCGGCGAAGAGCCGTCGATCCAAAACCGAAAGTTCAAAATTTCTAATTATATTCTGATTATGATATTGTCGCGCCATCTAGTATTCTATTTGTGCAATTTTAGCTCTTTCATTTCGAGTATTTTTCTGTTGCGTAGCTAGATATTCTGTGCTTTGTATTTTGTGCTTCCGACGACGGAAAGAGATAAACTTTCCGAAACGTTAAGCATTTTTTTGTTTGTTAGGCAAATTTGTATAACTGTAAACCTAACTTCTGACAAGTAGTTTCCGTTTGGGTTTAACGCAGAAGTGTTTACAAAAAGTAACTATTTTATTTTGTAGATTTTCTTGCAGTGGAGAAATACCCATATAGGATTTTTTGGAGATATTTAGTCATGTTGCGACAAAACTCCCTGTAAACAGCTCTATATTTGTTTATGTTCTATATAGAAAAAAAAATTCATGGTTATATATTTTTTTACTTGATCTTTTTTTCATTTGTTTGTTTCTCGGTTGTAAAAAAATAACAAAAATACTTACATACCGGGTGAGTCTTAAATAACTGCAAATATTTTTAGAGGTAGTCTATTTCGACCCCAGAAACACATCTATAAAGGATTTTTCGGGAAAAATTTATTTGAAAAGTTGAAATTTTTTTTTTCAACAAAAAAGAATTGTCGAATGTCCGAAAAAATGCCCGAATACACTTAAATAATATAAGATATTCATTTAATTGAAATTGGTGATCTATTTTATCTTTTATATAAAATAAAATTGAAAAACTGATCAGGCACATTAGTTAAAAATTGGCCAAAATACATTTCATTTTGCATTTTACTTTTATTAGTCAAATTTTTATCGATATAAACGCCCATTCCTGATAAACCGTGAATTGGAGATCGGCAAGGGAGATCGGTCTGAGTCGGATAGGATCGTTTTTCGCCGACTGAGTCGGGCGACTGCACTTTCGGGTGTATGTGGTTTCCCCGTGGTATCCCCTTCGCTGACACATTAGCCGCTCGGGAAAGTTCGGGTGCTGCGTAAAGTACCGACGTATTAGACTAATACGTCGGCGATTTACGATGCGCTCAAAATATTGTTTCTTCACAAATTTGTAAATCGGGTTAATTTGATCTGCGTTTGTAATGGGTATTAGTAATTTTTTATGATCCATAAGTAATCGTCTGTAGGTAGTTGGTTTTCATTGTTTTCCAGTGATTAGCACATTTCGAGCAGATTGCTAATTCAAAAACATGGATTTTAGGACATTACCAGCTGTACCTGATGAAGAAATAGCCTCCAATAAACTACGATTGCAGATTACTGATAATAAAAAATTTTAGATATGTTGCTTTTTGCAGAGAAATTAAATAATAACAGTAATGTTATTAATGTATCGTTAATACAAAATAAATAGTAATAGCACAGATAACATATGCTTTTGTTTATACTGCGCAAAAGTTTTGTGCGCTTTCATGTGAATGCTAGATATACCATACGATCGAAAAAAATGGCGTCAGAGCTGCCTTGGAAATAAAGATAGCTGTCATTTTGTATGTAAAATTATATAGGGAATATCATTCATTGATCATAATTTTCAAACCAACTAGACGCTGTTTTTTTATCATACGGAATAAAACTTAACTTACCCTTTATTAAGGCTCTGATCATTGTATTATCGACATGGAAGCTTAAAACTGGTTAGCGAGTAAATTTTAGTTTATTATTATTTTATTATAGAATGGAACACTGCCTTGTTAAATGTTGGAAGAGAAATATTTTTGAAAGAGTTTCAAAAACATTTTAAGATTGGCTCTGAGACTACGTCTAATAAGCATTTAAGAGATTTTATCACTACCATTTTGATGACAAACAAAAGAAAAATAGGGAACCAAGCCGCAAAAGAACTTCCCGAAATATAGACAGTCCAGTAAAATTATTAGTAACTATATCAAACAATTTCTTTCAGACACAAAATTAAAAAATATGGGATTGGGAGGTAATAAATCCAAAAAAAAACACGTCTTAATTTTTTTCTATTCATATGTTTTTTTTATATGTTTTTCTTTGGCTCAAGTTGTTTAGTATTTCTATAATATACAGAGTAAAATTCACCATGATTTCGCCATTAATATTTATCTAACAGAAAGTATTTTTTTAGCTAACAAAATTTTAGTTAGAATTTTATAGTAAAAATGACAAATTGAAAATTGCCTCACGAAATTTTCAATTTTAGTATTAAATATAATTTCTATTTAAGTCTGCTTTGTATCATTTTCAGTAACAGTTCTCGATATATAACCTACTGTAACGCAATGTACAGACAAAAGTATTTCGTTTTCGTAAATCACCGACGCATAAGGGTTGGAACCAGTCTAATATGTCGGTACTTTATCAACCGTCCGTCGCTGTACCCGACCTAATCCGAGCGGCTAATGTGTCGGCGAATTCCGAATATGCATCCGGGACTCGCGTCTGTATCCAACGGGACGCTGTTAACTTCAACGTCAATCCGGGACTCGCGTCTGTATCAAACGGGACGCTGCTAACTTCGACGTCGATCCAGGAGTCGCGTTTGTGTGCCACGGGACGCTGTCAACTTCGACGTCGATCCAGGACTCGCGTTTGTGTATCCAACGGGACGCTGCTAATTTCGACGTCGATCCAGGACTCGCGTCTGTGTGCCACGGGACGCTGTTAACTTCGACGTCGATCCAGGACTCGCGTTTGTGTGTCACGGGACGCTTTTAACAACGACGCCGATCCGGGGTCCGTGTTTCGCTGTCAAAAAGGACGCCGCTCCGATAAATACGTTGCTGTGACCATCGGGACGCCGCCTTTTAGAGAGTCGCGTCGCGGTAGAGTGTGTTGCTCCGGTATCTACGTGTCTGTGTCCAATGGGACGCCGCTAACTTCGACGCCGATCTGGAACTCGCGTCGTCGTGTCTAACGGAACGTCACTTCGGGAACGCGTCTTGAGTTCGAGTGATAGAGTCAGTCAGAGAGTTGCGTATTGGGAATAATCGATCAGAACTCTAGAGGTACACGGTTATTATTGTAAATTTTGCTTTACGAGGTTCTAAACATTCATTTTATTTTACTATTGTTACAATTCGAGAACGTAAACTTTCTTTGATTACTTTTGTACATAATTAATTTGTTAAATAAAAACCTAGTGTTACGTTATAGTTAATTGTGTGTTTTATTTTCTTTTCATCTCATCACTCCCTGGTATCTCCACTGTATAAATGCTACCCGTACTGGCACTAGTGGTCTCTCAAACACTATAAACTTTGAGGGTGGCGCCCGAGGTACCGAACCAAGGCAACTCGGCGTCCGTAAGCGTTCTCAAAATGGAGAGAACCTCACAGAATAATCCAAGATTTCGCAAAATATAAACATATATAACCAGAAATAATGTAAAGCCGGATTCGTGTACTTGTCAAGTACACCAATATTTGCGTACTTGGCAAGTATATTGTTTTTGTAAATAACACGTTTTTTATTTGTAATCAACAACAAATTTGGCGCTCACGCGGCGCGACGAGTGGCAAATAATTGCAAAAGTAAACCACCCACAACATGGCAAGTATATCTCAATAACAAATGTTTGTCGAGTCCGCGAGTCGTCTGAGTCCGGCTTAAAACAATAACACAGAACCATCACAGAACAATAATAAGAGTTATTTCCCAATGCATCGGTGTCTGTCTATTCTGTGCTTCCACGTAAATAAAGAAATACCATATTCCAGAAAATAAGTAAAGTAGGTACGTCTCTATAAGTTAAGTACTGGATCTATGTGTCTTGTGCCTATGCCTATCAGTTTACTACAAAACGCATTTTAAATAAGCAGCAATATATTTTATAGATCGCTACCTGCATACACGCGGTAGAGAGTCCACGTGTGGATTTGACGAGTATGTCACTGTAAAACATACACCCCCACTCAGTACATTGGTTTCCTTTTGGAATTTTTATTGACGGGACGCATCGCTTATTAATTTTTTTCGAGAGATCGATCAAAACCAGTGGCGGCTCATGTCCTGTGGGACTGGGTAGGCGCAGGGCCTATTTTACCATAAGGCCCGAGCCTTGGGCCCGGTGGTCTGGGGGGCCCGTTAAAGGTTGTAAAATATTCATAATTTCAAATGTAAATTTACATAGCAGAGAAAAAAAAACATCAGTTACCTCTGATAAGGAAAATAGAATTAAATAAAATAAGCTTTAGATTGATATAATTGATGCATTTTTTAAAATTATTTATATATTTATATCAAAGATACCGGCATCGGCGATTCCTCAATCTAAAAATAATGTGTTATTTTTTTAACCCAAAGTAACAAGAGAATTTTTGAATTTTATTGGAAAAGAGAGCCCGAATTTTTGCTTCGGCCTTAGGGCTCGACCAGATGAAAAATAGGCCCTGGGTAGGCGACAAAATGTTAATGCCTGTACTTAAACTGCCGTTAAACGGTAGCTTACTAAAGTGCCCGAGTGCCGTTAATAGGTATGACGTCGTTGATAAGACTTGACGGCTTTATGAAATATAGGAATTTTATAAGCTAACCAACGCTATCCACCCCACCAATTAACCAACTTAATCAACGCAACTAACCTCGACACTGATAAAAAAAAAATATAAAAAACAAATATAAATAAGTAAAAACCAACCAACCCCACCAAATAACCACGCTGACCAACCCGCCAAATAACTAAACCAATCCAACCAAAAAGAGTGAAACCAATGCAATAAGATCACGCTATAAGTAAAAAAAAATATGAAAAAGTCTTGGTCGGCGTGAGATTTGAACCACGGACCATTCGCTCACGAAGCGATAGCCTCAGCCACGGAGCCACAGGTGCTCTTGCAAAATGCTTGTAGCCAGGCTATGACTCAGACTACTCTTAACCGTGTACATAAAATATGCACCTACATCAGTTGCAGAATAGACTGAGAACTACTACATCACAACTAAACCAAAGAGTAGATAAGACACTAAACATACAAAATACAAACAAACAATAAAATTACCGAAAATCTACTAGACATTACGAAGGTTTTTTAAGAGTTTTTTCCTCCGATTCTACGGATCTGATTTAAGTAACCAACATATTTATTAAAGTAAAGCACGTCGGCATTGCCTCTATACTCCCAATGCATGTGTGAGCAAAAGCGGAACATGCAGTCCTCGCCCAGTCAATAAAAGAGCTACCTAGGGCAAACATCGGCCCCCCTGTACACAGGGTTCGCGGTTCGCTTAGGTGGTTGAGTGCTTCGTCAGAAGAACAACATACCATCTTATGTTATTTTATTTATTGTACCTATATATTGTAAATAGCACCTTTTTATTGTATTTAAGGAGACATTCTCAATAAATGCTTTGAAAAACTTGAAAACTTGCTTCGTGAGCGAAAGGTCCGTGGTTCAAATCTCACGCCGGACCAAGACTTTTTTATATTTTTTTTGCTTATAGCGTGATCTTATTGCATTGGTTTCACTCTTTTTGGTTGGATTGGTTTAGTTATTTGGCGGGTTGGTTAGCGTGGTTATTTGGAGGGTGTTAATTCATTGATTAGTTGGTTATTTGGTGGGGTTGGTTGATTTTTACTAATTTATATTTGTTTTTTATATTTTTTATCAGTGTCGAGGTTAGTTGCGTTGGTTATTTGGTGGGGTGGATAGCGTTGGTTAGTCCGGGCGACTTATCGCAAATTGGGCTAATTTAAAAATCATTTTGGGACACATTTTATCTTTCTGCGACTAGTCGCAGATTGGGCTATTATCAAAATTTTTCTGAGATTTTTTACACTTCCAAATTTTCACAAACCCAGCAAAAGGATTTGTCGAGATATTATTAGAAAAAAAAAATTAGGTAAAATTTTAACACCCTCTGTAGCTTGAAAACCAAACGTTTCCAGATCCATGTTTATATGAAACTTTAGTCATAAAATATTGTCAAAGAGCCAAAGAATTACCCCCTTTCGTTTGTACATGATATTTTGGAACACTGCATATTAATATAAATACTGTTCAATGATCATAATATTGTTAGATTCTATTTTAAATATATGAATTTGGCGCTCTTTTTAATTATTTGGTTGCTCACGCATGTGCCCCTAAAAGGCGGGACGCGAACGGCAGTGAAGGAATAGCGTCGCCGCGGCAGTCACTGCTTGACATTAACCGCGAATTCAAAAGAATTTAACATCCGGTGTGGGGTAATAAACCCGGGTGCTTTTCGTGTGCCTATGAATTTTGTGTGACTTTATGCTAATTAAATTAGCAATGGCCAAGCGTGCTACAATCGAATCTGTACTAGAATATGTAGTAGAATTGGCCCCTTTTTACTTAAGTATGCTAAACGATGGTTTACTGCATGGAAACCCACTCACGAAACATGGAAAAATTTTAAAACAAATTTTTCAGCTGTTATTTCCATAAAAAAAATTCTGGGTAAGCTCATGATCGATGCATATAACTTTCAAAGTTGCCTTGCTCATAGTAACATTGAGTAAGCACGCATAAAACTTGAGAAATTTAAATTGCTCTCTTGTTGTTTCAGAAAATATTGAGAAAAGGTTTAGACAATTTAAAAAGTGATATTAATAACATCAAAGTACGAAGTTAACACTGTGAAAGTTCTTTTAGAAACCAAGATAATGATACAGGCTTTAGAACTGAATTTTAGATCTATAGCTCCGTAGTTTTAGTAGAGTTTTGTAGTTTTATATGCCATATTCAAACCAAACTTACGATCATCAATAAATGTAATAGGTTCTGACAATACGATAAACATGTAATTATTAAATTAAAACAGAAAAAAAAATACAGATTTAAGTGTTCAGCTAAAATAATGTACAGAATTTTTAAGATGTCGAATATATGTTAACATATGATAAAAATGATATCATGACAGCAGGGTGGCCGAGCGAGATCAGCATGCGCAACGACGCTCTAGATGGCTCTGGCTTGCCACCGACGGGAGAGGCCTGGGCAAGGCCTCGCGAACGCGCCTGCTCTGCGACAGTACGAGCGCACCAGAGTACCAGTTAATATTAAAATAACACAAGCTGTACTGACGTAATAATAAAAGTGGTTTATCTGGTTGATTGTTTCATTTAAGGGTTAAAATAATCTAAAGTTATTATCAGAAGTGGGATGTGTCCAGATATTAAGCCAGTGTGCCCCAAAATTAGTGAAAAGTGAAGTTTTTGAACGTTAAGACATTATTGCGCAACATGGCGAAATGTGATAAATGTGCCAATTTCTGACGATATCGATTTTGAACTATCAGAAGAATAATTTCTCCTGTGTATTAGTGATCGTTAAAGGTCAAATAAACAATAAAACAATTTGTGAGTGCCTTCAATATGAAAACATTGCAATGAAGAGAAGACATTGTTCCGTCGGAGTGTGTAGGAGATTCAAATGAAAATGTTGTCAACAAATGCCTAGTCAAATTCTGAATATTCTAAAGGTACAGTACAGTCACAGTACAGTGAAAAGAAATTTTAATAACTTATTATCCAACCGACGACAAATTGCTGACATAGCGAAACAAACAAAGATGGCGATGATGTCATCGTCGTATTTGCAGCCAACGCCTCACCTATCCGTAACAGTAGCAGATGTATCTAGTGCGCAAGCTTCATTTTCTTTACGCAACCTGTAGACGAGCAATCTACGAAACTACGACCAAGACAACAGCATATACGCAATAGACCTTTCCCGTTAATCGGATTTTCAGCGGTCATAATGCGCGGACAGATTTTGCGCCGTTCAAATCTGGTTATAAACGGAGTCTTTAAAGGCTAGGGATAAAAAGAAATGTATCTAAAGAAATGACGGAGCACGGATGTCGTAACTTATGTCTGTAGGATTTATGGTATACATAACCCTACTTATTTTGTTTTCAATTTTTGTTATTTATATAAAATTTATTGAAAATTGTCTTTGTTCTTCTGCTCAATCCGTAAATTATTGTATTAGGGCAAATTTCAGTTCACAATGCGTAGTTGTATAGTCGGTTGCTCCAATTCGACCAAGCGATGTACTGACAGTATATTTTTCATTCCAAAAGGAACTCGGAGAAATATATGGACTACATTTTGAAAACAGATTCACAAGCAATAAGCGACAAGATAAGAGTATATATTTCACAGACTGTATAGTATACTTGTAACTTACACCAACAAAACTTTGTTTTAGGTTTGCTGGCGTCATTTTAGAGGAGATTTATTTCATTTTTCAACAAGGACATAACTAAAACCCCATTGCATACCACGTTTATATCTGTATAATAACGCAGAAGCCAATGAAGCTGTACAAAATATAGAAACCAGTAAAACACCAAAAAAATAACTTCCAAAACAAAGAATATTTGATTACCCGATTAAATCAGGCGATATATAAATCTAAATTTTTAATTGAGAACACAATGATAATGAAATAAATTATAATACAGGTGTTAGGAGTCATAAAATATAAGTAAAATATTGTTAACAATATTTATATTTTCAAATCAGAAAAAGGACCTATTGGTGCAGTGCACCAATACCAATATATTTTGAAGAAAAAGGACTAATTATTATGATTATATAAAGGACTAATTATTATGATTAATCCAGAGCAATAATTTAATAAAGTATATATTAATTATGGTATGCTATTAGGTTTGATGATGTTAACATCTTTCATTGGTTTTTTACTTTTAGGATCTATATTGGATAAAAAGATCATTGAATAGTGTTTTTTTATATTTATTAAAAATAAAGATGGAAAAAGGCAAATTAAATGCAGGGGACATTATATTAGCTGATAAAGATTTTGAAATAAACAGTATTTTAGAGCATATTGGTATCAAGCTGTAATGAAGTTCATAAAATTTCTGGGCCACCCTGTATATTATATTAATATTATACTAGAATAATAGAGACTTGATTCTCTTGTAATAATGACAGGCAGTGTATTTTATCGTTAACTCATTATTGTAATGAACTTCATTAGTGTTTCTATTGTTGAATTAAATAAGTTAAATATTTAATTGCCATTTTGTAAGAGAGTTTTGATCGGTTTTGGTCGCCGTGGTTCGGTGCGAGAAACCGAGACGTTTGCGCCGCTCTCCCTACCAGTGCAGGTTGAGTGGAGGGGAGCGTAGTCGAGTACCTCGGCCGCACTAGCACTACAGATTTAGTTAGCGGTCGCACGTGAACCAGTGAGGTTCGAGTCCGGAGTGCCCTGCCAAGTGTCCTGCTGCCAGCCGCCTGCCGCCGTCGCTGCCAGCCGCCTGCCGCCGTCGCTGCCAGCCGCCTGCCGCCGTATTGTATAAGGTAAGCACCCACCGCCAACGTGATCGAGAGTAGGTCGTATTCTTTTTATTGTTAATACCGTTTACTTTACTGCCTTGACGCGTTATAGGGATAAGGGAGACAGAGATAGTTAGAACGCGCGATCGCAAAGGCCGGCAAAACTTGTGTTCTTTCAGGGCCAACTGTCCTCTAGCAGGTGGGGGAGCTGAACGGATCACGTGGACGCGAGGAAAGCGCGCGATCGCAAAAGCTGGCAAAGCTTGTGTTCGTTCAGGGCCAACTGTCCTCTAGCAGGTGGGGGAGCTGAACGGATCACGTGGACGCGAGGAAAGCGCGCGATCGTAAAAGCTGGCAGAGCTTGTGTTCGTTCAGGGCCAACTGTCCTCTAGCAGGTGGGGGAGCTGAACGGATCACGTGGACGCGAGGAAAGCGCGCGATCGCAAAAGCTGGCAAAGCTTGTATTCGTTCAGGGCCAACTGTCCTCTAGTAGGTGGGGGAGCTGAACTGATCACGTGGATGCGAGGAAAGCGCGCGATCGTAAAAGCTGGCAGAGCTTGTGTTCGTTCAGGGCCAACTGTCCTCTAGCAGGTGGGGGAGCTGAACGGATCACGTGGACGTGAAGAACGATTTCTTTTGTTAGGGGAAAGAAGGAGCGTGAGAGAGATAACGAGCAAGGTGGTACAGTAAACGCACGGGTCGCGAATGTTCACGGAGCTAAGACAGGACCTCGCCCAAATCCCGAAGCGGGTTCTGTAGCCCGCGTATTTTTTTTGGTGTGTCGTCCGGACGACACCCTGCATCAGTGACGCTGAACGGGATCTCGCCGAAGTCCCGAGGTTGTCCTGACCGGGCGGTGTGTGTGCGGCCTGCGTTTCACGAAACGACGTACCACTCGCCGAGACGTCGCTAATTTCATGATCCAGGGCTCGTGTTTGTATATCCCACAGGACGCTGTTAATTTCGCGATCTATCCGGGGCTCGCGTGTGTGATTATCCCACAGAACGCCGATTATTTTTGCGATCGATCCAGGGCTCGCGTTTGTATATCCCTCGGGACGCTGTTAATGTCGCGATCTATCCAGGGCTCGCGTGTGTGATTATCCCACAGGACGCTATTATTTTTGCGATCTATCCAGGGCTCGCGTTTGTATATCCCTCGGGACCCCGTTAAATTTAATAGGACGTCATTTCGGGAACGCGTTTTAATTCACGGGATAGAACCAGTCAGAGAGTTACATATCGGGAATAGTCGATCAAAACTCTAGAGGTACACGGTTGTTAGTGTAAATTTTGTTCTGCGAGGTACTAAATATTTACTTTATTTTATTATTGTAAACTTTACTTTACTTAATTAATTAGTTAAATAAAAGCCTAGTGTTACGTTATAGTTAATTGTGTGTTTTATTTTCTTTTCATCTCATCACTCCCTGGTATCTCCACTGTATAAAAGCTACCCGTATAGGCACTAGTGTTCTCTCAAACACTTTAAACATTGGGATGGCGCCCGAGGAACCGAACCAAGGCAACTCGACGTCAGTGATCTCTCTCTAAAACGGGGGGCCCTCACAAAGCTCAACATTGAAAGTTACTGGTATGCAGTTTCAAGACAATGACGTGGAATTTATCAGGAAAATTGCACATGAAAGAATACATGTGGAAAGAGCGATTAGAAGAATTAAGGCATTCAAAATTTTAGCTTCTAGATTACCAATAAGCTTGTTAAGTTTTATTAATTAAATTTGTACTGTGTGTGCTCTTTTAACAAACTTTACAACCATTAAGAAAATTAATCTTTAGGGAGATCTTCTCTTCATGAAAAATTTTGCTTGTGCTATAGTGGTAACTCCCGTTTAGACTTTTCCAAGTTTCCATAATGTTTTAGAGAAAATTAAAAAAAACATGTAATTTATCTGTAAGTCCTAAAAAAACCTGTTTCTAAGTTAATACAATTTTGTTTTCATTCTTTGGTAGAATTTTAATTAACGTTATATTTTTTGCTGTTTTAAAATGTTAAAGAAGCACAAGATTATTTAGTTCAATGCTAGAGAAAGGGTGATGATACTTTACTACAGCAAAAAATATGACGTTAATCAGAATTAATAATAACCATCTATGAAGGAATGAAATTGAAATTATAATACGATAGAAAATCGTTTTCATTTTTAGGAAAAAATTCAACTATATTTAATATAGTTTTTTAAATTTACTCAAAACGGTATAGAAATTTAGAAAAGCATAAACGGCATTAATCATTTTAAAATGAGCAAAACTTTTAATGAAGAATGTATTTTTCTCAAAATGTCAATAATAAACGTCTCTCCTCTTATAAAGACGATCGGGGGACACACTGTATACTATAATAAAAATAAATAATATATAAAATAAAACATTTTGTCAAAAATCTAAATATATATTACTAGCATTATTTCATGATTTTTTCTTAAATACACCACCATATTTGCCATTATCTCCTTGTAGCGTGCGCCTTTCCAGTTGTAGAGCTTCACCAAACGAAAATTCATGAAAATGGTTCCCTTGTGGAGGGCAGCTAATTAAAATATTTCTAGTGATAGTATTTAATATGGGTAAATTAACTGGCATATCATCATTAGCAATATCTTTCCCTCCCTTTTTTTGTTGACCAAAAATAGTAATTTCTGGATCTGGAAATGTAAATAGTTTTACTCAACACATATATTTCATAACTTGAATACTGTAATATTATTAGCATAATTAATAAAACGATATATGATATAAAAATAAGTATAATTTTGAAAGGTCAAAAGTGAAGTATAAAAACCTGCAAAAGCACTTACTGGTCTTCTCTGTAGAAATAAAAAAAGATAAAGGTATGCCCTTATCAATCTTTTAAAAAGGTTCTCTTCTCTCTAATTTCTGTAATTTTGTGGGCAAATCATCTGTATCTTCATTCAACATCGCAGAAGTGCTATGAATAGCAATTTTTGTTACAACGGGGACCTTCCTTCTCAAAATATTTGTAGGTTTTTGGAATGTGAGATACCTTGCATCTTCAGGAATTACTTTTGTCCCACGTGGCTTATTCTATATCATATCTTGGGATGTTGAAGCAATGTGCTCGGGAGTTTCATATTCTACTCTTAATATAATGTCTTGCAAATAAAATTCTAAACCCAGCAAATGATGGGAAGACTGGGATGAACTAAAAGAAATATATAATTTATTTTATTATTAATGTTAAAAAATAATAGTCAAATACTCACCCAACTTCACAAGAACAATGACATTCTTGTATGCATAAATGTGGACTTGACATAAAAACTATACATAAAGTATGAGGTTTTTAAATGTGATTGGTCCACATTTTAAATGCACTAAAACTGTAAAGCGTACGCAAAATAATAAAACAAATATAAAAACCAAGAAATAATGTTCGAAGAAAACTCTAACCAAACTTTATCTCCAAAACAAAACAAAATTGACAAATACGGATGACAAGCCACATGCAACAAGCTAGGACCTACGATCTTTCAGTCTAGCAAACTTAACTTCATGCGCGCGCATTATGACCGCTGTTTTCGATTAACGGGAAAGGTCTATTCACGAATGACTGAAAAACTACGAAGCGTGACGAAGTTCTACGAAATACAACGTAGTCAAAGACCGAGTCCAAAGTCAACGATAAGATGACGATTATTAAACAAGCAAGACTTTAAAAACCTAGAGTAAACAATACTGTCACCGAACGCCGGACGTTTTATGATGACCTCATCACCGCTTTTTCCGAGAGAGATACGAGCAACTGTTATTGCTGAACAAAGAAAACCAACTTAGGCCACGGTCACCGGTCATTCCCGGTACTGGCCGCTGCAGAAGATAAACATAATCCATTCGACAGCTGGACACATACCAAATGTGTTACGTCATGGAGTAGGTTCCAGATTATTGGTCTCTCAGCATTTTCTGGCTGACGGCGCACCGCCAACCGATGTCGTCGATCCGGACAAGGCCATACAGAAGCCGAAGGACGATTGGAAAATAGCCCGAGAAAGCGAGCTCAGCACTTTTATGTCTAGCACAGTCAAACTGATTTGTTTACCTCTGAATAAAAAAGTTGAGTATTAAAAAGTTTTAATAATAAGCATATTATTAATCAAGCTATTTTTATTTTTTATTTGTTTATGGTTGGAGACCTGGACATGACCATGGAAGATTCTCAGCTGACAGGCATGGAATGCAGTTGCAGTTCATTCCTCAACGCCAGATATGCGCTGCGTCAGCAAGATCGGCGGCGGCGGACAAATGTGACCGCACATAAACAACTCCAACCATGGCCTTCCATAATATAAAAAAAATTAAGTATCAGACCATTTGACTTACAGTCTTACAAACGATTTAATTTAGTTCTTACTGGTGATGTAAGAATTGGTAATTTAATAAGTTACCCGACAAAACGTATTTGAATTAACTTACAGTCTTTTGAACGATTGAATTTAATTATTTGTTCTCATTTAATAAGCTGTCATTTAAAAACTTAAATCAATACGAGAAGAATAATAATGCCATACTTAATTAGTTTTATATTTCAACGAAAATAGTGGCAGTCAGTTTCATTCCTAGTTGTTAATACGCCAATATATTGCCAGAATTTGTTTCGACAATTTATACAGATTGTCCAATAATACAATACCATAAGTTATGAAGTATATTAAAATCACTAAAATAATTTAAAGATACAATTGCAATAGTTTATTTCGGACAGTTAGAACCGAATACTAAAAATATTCTCACACTAGAACTCACTTTCTCTTTTAATATAAAAAAAAGGAAGTAATATGTCTTCTTTTGACAGAAAACTTTATTCAAAACAAAAATCATTGACAACTTTACGCTTATTGACAAAATTATACAATTGTTACAGTAATTACATAATTTCAATCAAAAATAGCAAGAACTGCATTGAACTTACAAATACACTAAGGAATATCACCCCTTTTATCAGAGTTCAGTTCTGGTTTCCTTCGACGTAACTAAGACTTGTTGTCTAATATGCCAAATAAAGATTATTATCAATAATTCAATCAATTTAAATATGATATTTAACATTAAGCAAAAATGTAAGATTAACATTATCGTTTGACATAAGTTTTGGAACTTTTTGACGCTACGCATGAACTAGGATTGTTTCGTGTTAAAGACATTTTAATTGATAAACAAAAAAATATATCTAGCTTTGGGTTCTCCCCTAAGTCCGTTACTCGCAGAAAGCTTTCTGTCTGAATTTACAGTAGCACTTTTCAAAATTAGAACATTTTGATATTTTATTCTCTTGTATAAAAATGTAGATCCTCATAATTTTAAACATTCAATACAACATAAATTAGCAGCGTATAAATCAAAGGTTCATTGAACATTTGCTCTCGCACTAAGTCAAGCTATTCGAACTAAAGAAGAAGAAACAATACAATAGATTTAATATAAACAATAAATAACATAATAAGAAATTAAATAATATAATAGTAAACCGTCTCAAACCATATCAAATTTACCTAAACACTATCAGGCAATTTATAAGTTAAACTGTTCAGATTGCAAAATCAGCTATATGTATAGGCCAGACCCGTAGAAATGTTGAAAGTAGATTCAAAGTTCAAAGAAAAATAGAACATCTTTTATATAAAAAAAAATGTCTAAGATTTCGTCTATAAGATGTATAGAGCACACAAATATTGTTTTAGAGCACAAAGTGTTATTTCTTATTTTGTGGTAAATCTTTCTTTATTTTAAGCTAAAGTTTTTCGACAAAATGCAACTCCACAGTCTTGTGTTAATATTCGGTGACGCAGAGCTCGGAGCTTATCAGTTCGAGGTGCATTTTATAAGACAAAGCATTTTTTGTTGTTGTTTATTTTAGAGACGCGCAAGCTGCACGAGTTATTATGTTTTCTTTTAAAGAATCATTGATTTAAAACAATTATAAAAAAATATTATAAAACTTGTACCTAAGCCTGTAGCAAAAAAAATGGGTTTTTATTTGTGGCTAGATAATCGACAGGCATTCCCTGAGAAAGCGATGTAAAATTGCAATATTCACAATGTAATAGTATCCTGTAAACTTTCATAATAATTGGTTCCACATATAACATGGCTAGCATGTTGTAGAATGTAAAGAATGGATAAAATGTTAAATGTTATAGAACTAGTTTTCCAAAGTATAAGAGGCATTAACTGTTAGGAATGGGCTTGACTGACAATTTCATGATAAATTAAATATAAAAAATTAAATATAAAAAAATATAAATTAAATAAAATCAGAAAAAAGAGAGTGCTTTTTAATCTTAAAAAAAATAGTGGCACTCCCGCTATAAATTAAAATAAATAATTGATTGTACTGCTAATATTCAAAATTTATTTGAGTAGATACACTATTCAAGGAGAATAATAATACTATAATAAAGTCTTATATTATAGTGAAAATAGTAGTAGTCTTACGATAAGATAAATTAAAAAAAAATAAGAAAAAAAAAGGTCTTACCGCATGAACGATACCAGCTCCACAAGAAAGGACAACGAATCACAGTAGCTGCTCACGATCAGTTGAGGCCATGGTTATTAGAATAATTTAAAAAAAAAGTGAGTGGCAATCCCACTATATTATCTTAAAAATTGTATTTTATTTTGGCTTTGCCAACTTTAGGGTGGCGATCCCACAAACAAATGATTATGAAGGGTGGCAATCCCACCAATAATAATAATTAAAATAAAGGGCGGCAATCCCACCAGCAATAATAATAATTAAAATAAAGGATGGCATCCCACCAACAATAATAATAATTAAAATAAAGGGTGGCAATCCCACCAACAATAATAATTAAAATAAAGGGTGGCAATCCCACCAGCAATAATAATAATTAGAATAAAGAGTGGCAGTCCCACCAATAATAATAATTTAAATGATTCTTAGTGACGATCTCACTATATACTGTTGGTTGTAACAAAAAGAATGATTTTATAGTGGCGTTCCCACTAGCAACTGCTAATAAGGGTGGCGATCCCACCAATGATTGTTTTATTCAAAGTATGAATAGTGGCAACCCCACTATACCTAAAGAAGTGGCAACCCTACCTTAGATGCTGAATAATAGAGGATAGTAGCAGCCCTACTATGCCTAGAGACAGTGTAGTGGTAGTACTAGCTACGATTAATAAAACGAAGTAAAATTTTTTTTTTTATTTTAGAGTTTTGGATAATAAGAAATGAACATCGATACTGTTTTGGTGTTTTCTTAATTTCAGATTGGTGCGAGGACGCCCCACCTGCAGAATGGCCGTGTTAACATATGATAAAAATGATATCATGACAGCAGGGTGGCCGAGCGAGATCAGCATGCGCAACGACGCTCTAGATGGCTCTGGCTTGCCACCGACGGGAGAGGCCTGGGCAAGGCCTTGCGAACGCGCCTGCTCTGCGACAGTACGAGCGCACCAGAGTACCAGTACCAGTCAATATTAAAATAACACAAGCTGTACTGACCTAATAATAAAAGTGGTTTATCTGGTTGATTGTTTCATTTAAGGGTTAAAATAATCTAAAGTTATTATATATAGCATAAATTGGATTTATTTTAAATAACGACAGATACCACATTTCCATTTCGCGTGATTTTAACCATGTTTTAACTATAAAAAAAACATCCCCGATATTTTTTCTGGTATAAATTGTATTACAAAACTAATTAAACGTTATGATAAATTTATTTGTACTAAAGATTGAAGAAAAGTACCAAGAAAGGCTGGGCATTTGATAAAGGGAAGCCAATAAGTCGATTCCAGAGCTATCGAATTTCAGTTCTAAGAAACTTATCAGTTAAATGTGGTTCCATATTTTTCTCAACGCAAGTCTAATGAAGTGTCTAAATATCAATCATGAGACCTTGGCGACTGTTTATAATATTCGGTGCTTTATCAGTATTTTACGAAGTCAGATATTTTTTTTACTCTTTTCTTTTGTGTAGCGATTTCAAGCTTATGAGTATTGATGAGTTAACAATTTTAGTATTGGATACCGAAATGGTGTTATTTTTCAACGGGGCCGACTATTCCAGATGAAATCGAATTGAAAATGTTTGTCAACATGGCCTACTGGTAACTGGTTAAAAAAATACAGAAATATGACACCGAAACAGAAACTTAAGATATATGAAAATAAATTTAGGACAAATAAGCTAACATTTTTGTTAAAATAATATTATTTTTAGAAAAAAAAATGTGGCCAACTTCTTTTTATATAAAATCTTTCTTTTTATATAAAAGCTTATAACGTGAGTTTATTTTCCCAATAATATTTCTTTTAACATAGGTTTTAAAACGACACATATTACGTTAGTATTTAATGAGATAAGTAAATTTGTAATCAATAGAGAGAGAGAGAGAGAGAGAGAGAGATTGGATAGTTCTTTTGTAAAGTAAATAATAATTAGTTAATATGATAGCCACGTAAGCTTTAGGTGGATTAGTGAATTTCTGTTCTCGGTAGAGTTAGTACTGCTTAGCTTGAGGAAGCGCAAGGATAGGCCTGTTAATGTTGCTTGGCAGGATCTGGGATCCCGTAATGTCATAGTAGCAGGGACGCGAATCCTCGTAATGTCACAACAACGTCACACGGCAGGGATCTGGGATTCCGTACGCCGTGTGTCAACAGTTTTATTACTATTATGTCTGGGACAGTACCTCCGGGTCTTCAGCGGGGGGAACAGGCCCCCAGGGTCCTCGAATCTCGGTATCGATATGTTGTGTTTATTCTGTTGTCCGTGCGGCTGATTACTCTGGAGTCCGCGCCATCAGGAGGGTGCGTGGGCGGAAGGCCAAGTGAATGCATTTGCATAGATATGTTTGTAAATCTTGTATTGAGAGAGACAGAGATAAATTAGTCCATCTAGTAAGATAAATAGAAAATAAATAATAGGTAGTTAGGGCAAAACAATATCGGCATATAGCAGTTAAGTAGGTAGGAATTATGAACTGGACACTTATCCTTACTTTTTAATTGTGACAGGTATTAAAGTACGCCTCCGCTCAGGGTCAATGCTTCAGGGATTATTTGGTGAGTCTGTGATTTATTATATATTTGTTTTCCTGACAATATAATACTTTAAAACATTTTAATTATCCTGTCACGAGTTATGGTTTTGTTAGTTGTTTAGATTGTTTATTATTTTATAAAGAAAGTAAACAAAAAAAAAATCTTACAGCTAAATTTCAGAAGTGGGATCCAAACTAATTCAGATTCAAGATTCAGACTCATTCAGACTCATGTTAACAAATCTAAAACTTCTCAAAAAAAATCCGCGGATAGTGTTCAGTTCATTTTATTATGCGCACAGCTATAAAACGAAAGAGGTAGATGAAAGTTATGTAAAACATTCGAGTATGCGATCAAAGCTTGACACAAAAAAAAAGATAATAAATTTAATATTCAATAAATTTAATAGACCAAAAGGTAAACCAAAGCTACTGTATAATGGTAAAAAGTACGGTCACTTAAGACGTGATCATCCAAACAAAGACCGATAATAATCGAGGGCGTAAAACATCTGGCGACTAGTTTCTGTGTTAGGAAAAAGGGCTTTACGCAGGTACTGACCCAAAAAGACGTAAATATCAGGCAAAAAAAAATACCATAAAGATGTAACTGTAAATAATCGAACTTTATGCTTTTTTATAGATAATATAAAATTAAATGCAACGACCTTTGGTTTTGATATTATAAAAAAAAAATTGCTATTTTTAAAGATGCCGAAATTTTA